CCCACCATATAAACCACGTGGGCTGAAACCCAAATCCAGACTGGCCAAATAATAATAATTTAATTTTCAGGGGAAATCGAATCCAGAACTGATGTGAATATATACCAAATCCCAGAAAATTACCACTAGACTACCATCACTTGGTTAATAAATAGGATTTTGAGATCATAGTGTTATTTTTAATACACATTTTGGTTATATTCATTCAGTGATATTTGTATGTTTTAGTTTTATTGTTTAGTTAAATGTGTGAATTATAAATTTCGTAGAATCGCTATTTGTAAAATGTAAGAAGATTGGGTTTAAGAGTCATTGCATTTGGATTAATTTATAATATAATAATTAAAATGGTTCGATAGAGAACAGTGTTTAGTATTGATTTATGTTGGAAAGCTATTTTTATTTGCCTCTTTTACTTTTTTTTTTAGTTGTGTGTGATGTAGGTAAGTAAGGAAGTTATGTACAATTATGTTTCACCTATGTATTTTTGTCTGGCTGTTGTATTTTACCGAGTTCATCCAAATTATGCAAATATTATTTTCTTAGTTCCATTCTAATAAAAGAATTATGGTAGAGTTTTTTCATATTATTATACCATATAGATAAATGTAAATATTATACAAAATTATAATGCTTGGCGAAGAAATCAATATTATGTCCGTGTTGTTTTAATGTTTAGTTACTACTAGGTGATTTTCCCGTGCTCATGCACGGACATAAATATTGATAAAATAAATAAATTATAATAATTGATTGATATTTACTTTAAATTTTAAATTAATTTATAATTTGTAGGTATAATTTTTATTAGGAATATTATATTAATTTAATTATATATAGAATTTTAGATATATTATATTTCCTCAGTTTTATTGTTTTTTGGTTGATTTAGTTATCATATAGATATATCAGCTTATATCTATTTCTCTAAATTCAACTATAATTTTTTTATTCTACATATATTAGATTTTTGATTACTTGTCTTATTTACATTTATGCTGGTTGTTATCTTTTATCTAGTTAGATTATGTATAACTTAATATTTTTTCTGCTTAGAAAAAAAAAAAAAACTAAACTGTGTGATTCTAAGCTTATGAACACTTATCAATATTTACAATATTTAGATTGATTGGATGATAAACTGAAATTATTTTAAATATTTTAAAAATAAGGATTCTGATTTGCTTAAGTATTTTGATTATGGTTACATTAAGTTCCACAAACATAAAAACCTAAAATTAAAAATCAAAAGAGTTATTATGAAAACATATGACTTTAACTATTAAAATACAATATATCTACTCGTTAAATTATATAGTGATGATATTTTAATATAATTTTAGTTATTTGATCAAAAAATCTTTATTGTTACATTTTTTTAGTTTAGTTTTTAATATCTCTTAAAATATGCAGTAAAAATGTTATTGTTTTTGAGAATTATATTATATAAGTAAAATAGAATTTATATTTTTTGCTGTAATTGTAAGATATTATAGTCAAATATATATACTAAAAATTAAAAAAAAAATATTTCAAAAATACTAATTATAACAAAAGTTGTCAATTAAACATATATCAGTTTATGTTACTTAATTATTCTATGTAATCATCTAATAAAATAGATAGCTATATACAAAAAATAATTACTTTGAAATTATATATATTTATTCTTTAAAATTATTTATTTTTCTACTATCAAAATTAGTTGTGTAAGCTTTTTTTATGGAATCATATTATATACAAATATTGTTTTTCATCTAAGAATATATAGATATAAAGTATTTTATTACTTCAAAAGTATATTTTATGTTATTTAAATATATTTAAATTAAATATTGCTATTTTGTGAACTTTCCTTTTTTATGAAACCATATTTATATATACTTATATTTTCTTTTTTAAATAGTTTTTAAACTTTATTAATGTTTCTTTTTTATTTTATATTGTTATTTGGATTTTTTTTTTTAAAATAAATAATAATATTTAAATGTATTTTTAATTCATTAGATGTATCATAGTAATCAACCAGTGTGAGGGTTAACGTGAGCGCGACACATAAAAAAAGAATTCTCAAATAATATTATAAAGATTTATTGCTTAAATTTACATGTATTTTCATAATATTTATCAAATTATATGTTGATTTCTAAAAATAGTAGAAAATAAAGTGTAACTGATAAATTTTTGAATGTTCATGAACATATATATTTTCATTATTTTGAAAATATTTTTTATGTTATTCAAAAATATATATTACTGGGGGTATTACTATTTTGTGAACTTTCCTTTTTAATAAACTCATATTATATACATATATTTTCATTTTTAAATTTGTTTTTAAATTTTAGAAATATTTCCTTTTTATTATATATGTAATTTGGAAAAAGGTAAAAAGGAAACTAAATAAAAATTAATAATAATCATAAAATCTAACAATTCATTAAGGGTATCTATGTAACCAACCATCACGAGAGTTAACGTGAGCGCGACACGTAGGAAACTGACTTCTCAAATAATATTATAGAGATTTTATTTCTTTCTGTATGCTATAGGTATTGAGCTAGTTAGTTATTGCTTAAGCTACTATATATTTATTTTACACTTCATTCACTATGTTTGTGTACTAAACATTTGAATCCATGTTCATTGTTTAGATTTTGTCAAATAACGTGGTCATAATTGATATTTTATTTGTGATTTCTTTCATATGTATCCGTAACAGCACAGTTGACCCATCCTAAACAAAATTACATGCTTTCTAATTTAAATTATGGTGGTGGACTAATAATGTTGTTGTAAAGGGTGGGACTGATATTTATTTTGTATAAATCATAAGTTTGGTTGTTTTCCTCACTTTCTTATCACTGTTAAAACAATTTTGCATTTTTTATTTCAGAATCTGATTTTGTTGTTGTAGGAGGTGGATTTCACCCTCCACAACACTCAGCGAATAGAGGATTAGGCCCAACAAGAATCATTCTATCGGTTCGGCTATCAGCTGAAGCGCTAAGAACGACCACGTGTATCTACCGCCAATAAAGCCGAACTGAAGTTGAGCTAAGGAAAACGAGACGACCGGCATCTCAGCGGCTTGATCTACGGCCCATCAACTCGGCCTTGTCCGAAAGGCCCATTAGGAAGGATTGGCTTAGAGCATCCGCACGAGATGAGCTATATAAGGAGGAGGGAGAAAGCAGAAAAGGGGACATCAGAAGATACATACACATACTTGGCGGCTAGAGTTAGGGTTTTACTTCCTTTGTAGTTACGCCGACTTGTACTTTCCTGGCCAGCTCTCTGAGCACCGGCTTGTTTCTACCGCTTCTTTCCCTATTTGTAACCAACAAACCTTTTTCATCATCTAATAAACATCTTTGAAATAACCCACCGACGAGTTTCGTCTCTCTTACTAGTTTTCAAACAAACTCGGTTCAAACAGTTGGCGTCCACCGTGAGGTTTATCAAAGTAGCGTCAACAGAAGATGAGTCCAAGTAAAGAAGATTCTACTTCAGGTGAGGAGGTTGACGCGATAAAACCAACTCCGTCTACCGCAAGACCACTCGCCCCAGATTTCCTTGATACCATCACGGAACGCTTCGCCCGGTAAGATGAAGCCCAGAAAGAAATGACTGAGAAACTCGCCGTTATGGCAGCTATTTTTTCACCCTTAGCTAGGACAGTCGCCGCGCCGATGGAACCATTCCGGCGTCAGCTGTTCAACACTGACAGAACAGTCGATACCGCAAACCAAGATGCCGATACACAAACCCAGGCTGCCAATGATTTAATACACACCCCCGGCACTCAGATCTGCAGATGATTTGAGAAATCGCCAGACTCAAACAATCACTTCTGGACATCAACTCGAAGATCCACTGCGTGACAACCTCTGCTCCATAGATCGAGAGCGTCCTCGCTGACACCCTTCGAACTCCGTTCACCTGGGCGATAACCGATGTGCGACTTCGGCCGATGGAAAAACTCCGCCTGCCGACTTTCAACGGTCTCTCTGACCTGACCCGCCATATTAAATCTTTCAATATCACCATGCGGCGGTCAAATTTCTCTGACGAAGAAAAAGATGCCGGTTTTTGCCAACTGCTCGTCGAAACACTCACCGGCGCGGCTCTCAACTGGTTCACCGGCTTACCTGAAAATCCGGTCGATAATTTCCATGATCTGTCGTCCGACTTACTCAAGAACTACATCATGTTTACTCGCCAAGAACCCACCACGTCGGAACTTTGGAACCTCTCTCAATCCCAGAGATAGAGCCTCCGCGAATTCATGGAGAAGTTTAAAGCCATCGTATCCGAAGTTCATGTTCCTGATAGCATCGCAGTAGACGCCCTCATGAATACTCTATACGTACACTCAAAGTTCCGAGATGATCTATACTGGCACCCGACAAAAACCCTCTCAGATGCCATAGCTCGGTCTTACAACTTCATTCGCATGGAAGAAGACACTAATGCGATAATCAGTAAGCAAAACACAACAAAGCAAGCATTCGCCAAAAACACCGATACTCGCCACGAGCCGCGATAACACCCCAGGGGTGACAAAATGAACCCAAAGAAAAGTTACGTTTATGTCGTCAACGAAGATGAGCTTCTGGGATCCACGGTCGTAGTTATGGGGAAAGGGTGGAAGCATTGGGACAGGTTCGGAAACGACAAGAATCCCCAAGGTTCGTCCGAACCTTCAGGTTCAAATCCAACTGAACCCGACAAATGGTGTACCTACCACAAAACCAAGAAGCACGACATGAAGGAATGGAAAATCTTGTACGATCACTTCCTCTGATCTGTCGCCAACGGCAAGCTGGAGATTTAGCCTCCAAACACGAAACCGAAAATAGGAAGAGCTGGAGGAAAAACAAGGAAAAGAAAGCTCAGAAGTCGGAGGGCAAGGCTCCACAGACTGAGCCCTGGACACTATCTGTTATCAATTTCCTAATTGAGTTTCTGAATGGTTCTCAAAACAATATGTATCTCTCATGAATTCAGAAAGTACTTGGGGGCCATATTGAACAGAAAGAATCAATAGTTCTTCCTGAAAAAAATCGATTTGATTTTTTCACGGTACAGTTGATGCGTCAATTATGTTTTCATTTTAATGTGGATTGTCTATTTTCAGAGTCTAATTGATTGTGTAATTCTGAGTAGGGAAGCCGATTGATCCAAGTGATTTGATAAAGATCGAATCTATAGTGAATAAGCTAATCGAAGACAAGCTAGGTGTATGTTCCCAGAAAGCGGCGCTTTCTGAAGCCAAGCGCATCAAGGGTCTAAGAGAAGTATTGGGGGAAGTAAGTTTAAATCATTTTCAGTTTGGTTTCGACCATTATTAAATCATTGTATCTCTTTCTATTCATAGGCCTCCTACGATCCTGTTAAAGTGGTGGCAATTGGGAGACATGTGGAGGAACTCTTGGCTGATCCTGAAAACAATGAATGGTCATCACTTTCCACTGAATTTTGTGGAGGTGAGTTTACATTGGCTATTGGGACCCGATATATCATTTTAAAGCTATTAAAATAAATAATAGAGACCGAAGAAACCATTGTTGACTGGCTATTTTGACCAATAATACCAGGAACCCACATAGCAAACACTGGCGAAGCCGAAGCGTTTGTTATTATATCGGAGGAGGGAGTGGCCAAAGGTATTCGTAGGATAACGGCTATGACTGGTCAGTGTGCTCTTGATGCGATGAATCTGGAATTCTTGCTCGGACAAGAAGTATATGATGCATTTGAAGCAGAGGGGAGTGCACTGGAGGAAAAAAGTTAAGGTTTTGAAAAGACGCTATGAGGAAGCAGTTATCCCAGCTGCTAGAAAGGCAGAAATCAAGGCTAATATTGCTCTGCTTCAGTTAAACTTTTTTTCCATCACCTACAGCGCATAACTTTGTTTACAACTTTGTCCTAGTTTCTGATCAAAAGAATCTTAACCGGCGATTTTAATTTTGTTTTTGTTTTCCTTGAAGAATGAAGTGCGAAAAGTTCAAAAGGAAATAGCAGAGCAAAACCGAAAGAAAGCTGTCAAAATGACGATAGAGGCTGCTGAGTCTGCAACAACAGATGGGAAAACATTCTGCGTAATCCAGCTTGATGTGGGTTTGAATTTAGTAGGGTGAAAAGAGTATGGTCAGCCTCGGATCTCTTGAATCATCTATCTTTGAAAGTTGTGCTCAGCTTATGGTACCAAGCTCTAGGAGACTGTTTCAACCCATAAATAGCTTTCCTGAGTCTAAGGACTTTTCCTGGTGCAACCATATCTTCAAGACCAGGTGGAGGAGTCATGTACACTTTATCCTCTAGTTCACCTTGAAAGAATGCATTCCTGACATCAATCTACCAAAAACCCCACTCAAGATTAGTAGCTAATGAAATAATAACCCTTACTGTGTGAAGTTTGGCCACCGGGGCAAATGTATCCAAGTAATCTTCTTCATATATTTGAGTGAAACCTTTTGCCACCAGCCTTGTCTTATGTCCCCCCCCCATCTCCCCATTATTTTTGTAATGGTCATCAACAATTTCGAGCTCACAACTTTCTTCCCTTTAGAAAGGTTTGTTTCATAAAAAGTCTGGTTGCGATCCATGGCTTCCATTTCTTCACCTACAGAATTTCTCCATACTTTTTGTTTCATGGCCTCCTCATAAGTCTTTGGTAGCAGTTCCTGATCCAATTTTCCAACAAAGACTTGATGTTCAATAGGAAAATGAGCAAGGGAGAAAACCACTTGAATAGGATGGGTGACAGCTTTGTTGTTGTAGTAGACACTCGTGTCTACCACTTATATGTCTTCTTAACGCTTGTGCTCCTTCTCACAGGTTGTTATTCTTCATGCTCTTGTACTTGTTCGGCCTCTTGAACCTGATCACTTTGTTCTTCATCTTGAATATGTTCTTGGGCACTCCTCTTTTATCATGACTAGATGGACCACCTTCTTCTGATTCTAGTTCTTTATGTATACCGCTCTCTATATCAAGGTGGATGTCATCTTCAGGAACTTGAGATTCCACAGGCGGGCCTAATACCCTAGTTTCATTTTTCACTTTGAGTTGGCTGATCCCAAAACTCTCCAAAATGAGTCTAAGGTTTGCGGCTCGGTCCGAGGGTGGATGAGATAGATCCTTCAGGTTATCCTAGCTTTTCTCATCATAGAATCCTTTGTTCTCTACAAACTTGACATCTCTATACACCATTACCTTCCTGGTTTTTGGTACATAGCATTTGTATCCTTTATCGGTTATTGAATATCCAATAAACATAGCTTTGACACTCTTTGCCTCAAGCTTGTTTCTCTGTTCTCCTAGAATCAAAACAAAACACTACACACTCAAATACCCATATGCACTACAAAAAAGTATGCATATTGTGACAAAACAATTTGTCACAATAAAATATACACTGTAACAATATCTTTATTGTTACGTGTTTGTGA